TTTGGAGGAAAGGAGGCTGAGGGGCGACCTCAGTGCTCTCTACAGCTTCCTGAGGAGGGGAAGTGGAGAGGGAGGTGCTGATCTCTTCTCCCTGGGATCCAGTGATAGGACACGTGGCAATGATTCAAAGCTGTGCCAGGGGAGGTTTAGACTGGACTTTAGGAAGCATTTTTTTACCGAGAGGGTGGTCAAACACTGGAACAGGTTTTCTAGAGAGGTGGTCAGTGCCCCAAGCCTGTCAATTTTTAAGAGGCATTTGGACAATGTCCTTAACAATATGCTTTAACTTTTGCTCAGCCCTGAATTGGTCAGGCAGTTGGAAGATGATCATTGTAGGTCCCTTGCAACTGAAATAGTCTATTCTAAAATAACTGGCAGTGTAACACAAGGCACACGGAATTTAGCTTTCTTACAAACCAGCAGAGTTTTTAGGGTGGTTATAAGGATTCTCTTGCCTCTTTTCTGAGGCTCTCAGCCAAGTCCCAAAGGCATGACCAGTGACCCTGGCTTAGTACGCAGAAATAAAAATCCTCGGGAAGGATATTGCCGGGGAGGCTCCTGACACATTCCAGCTGTTTGCTATGCACAGGCAAAATGCCTGGCTTCCCCAGCTCGTTCTCGGGGCTTGATGCAATTGTCAAAACATAAGCATCTTATGCCAATTTAGATGCCTTAGGACTACCATAACAACCACATGGGTCCAACATACATGCCACCCTATGTATGGGACACCTCCAGAAGCAGCAGCTGGAGGCCAGATGATACACCTTGAGGAGTCTAAAATGGCACTGGACACCTATTATGGCAATTGAATCATGTCGTCACTGTCCCACTTAAAAGAGAGTGTGCCAGCTGCAAGCCTACTCTAGACAATGTTAACGCAGTGAAAGGCGATGTACTAATAACGGTATATTATTGTGATTCAGTATTCCAGAGTGTCAGAGCTACCGCCCTACTGCAGTGTATGAGGTGCTAGCTTTCAGTCTTGCTCTGTGCTGCCTGTGCAGTCCATTTATGCTAACACAATCCCCAAGAAAAGTCTCCCATGTCTTGCTCCCCAGTAAGTTAAGAATGCTTGGAGGTTAAGGGGGACATTCAAAGTAAAAAAAGTCGTCAGACCCAGAACCCCCAGAAGTCCTGCTGACCGTTGTGCAAAAGTATTTAACAGCTTTGTATACTATCATGATACCATTTTGAAACCAATATTGTGAAAGTATCAAACCTGATAGAGCTATTAAAATATTTAAAAGGGAAAATCTCTGGGACACTTGTTTACCTAAATGCACGGTTGTGCCCACTGCACTTAATGACCCAATTTTACAGTTCTAACAGGGAGAATTCTTACTAGCTTCCATGAGAGCTTTGTTTGTCTAAGGACTATAGGATCGTGTCCTCCAAATATGTATCGATGCAGTCTGGAGTGATGGTAGAACATTGGGCCTTCATCTCAGGTTACACAGTAATTAATCAGAAAGTTTATTAAAGAGTCCAGAAAGTTGTACAGAGATTTAAAGAGGATTGGCTACTTTTTTCCTCATTCTCTCTGGCAGGATTGGGTGAAAGAACTGGGACTGTATTTCTGAATGCCCTGAAGAGAAGCAGAGCAGAGCTGGAAGAGCTTTGACCTGATGGCCTGTCTGCCAGCCATTCAAACTCTCTAGACAAAGCATTTGAGCATGACTGCTATGTCCATGTCATGAAGTTGCAGCTGCAATCTGAGATTGGGCAAGACTTAGTTATTGTAAAAGTGACTAGTCCAAATTAATCACGGCTTAACAACCAGTCATGCTGATCTAAGGTGAGGTCACTCTGGTTCTCTTCTCTACTCCCTCCGAACTCCCACAGTCCTGCCTTCGAGTTTCTACAGCGGTGCTTGTGCAGTTGTGTAGTCAGCCATGATCCTATGGGAAATGAATTTTTTTTTTTGTAGGTTAATTTTTTGGCCAGCTTAACTTCCTGAACTACCTCACCACAACAACTACCAGAGCTATTGCAAAGGATGGGGCAGGACAGCATTGCTGTGGGCCAGGGAGAGGGTGAAACTGCGGCAGCTTCAACTCATGTTGGTTTAAGTTGCAGTGGATCTGCACACTGAACTAAAAATCTTCAATGCAAAATATCATTTTCACTACAGCACAGGATGTGTGAAAACTGGAAATAATCCAAAGTACAGATCAATGTCTGAGTGCTTTTGAGACCTCAAGAAAATCTTTTAAGTTAAAAGGAATACATTTGTAAGAGTTTCTACATCTTTTAAGACTTCAGCAATTTTTTCCTCTCCAAAGTTACCAGAAAAGAAGGTAAAAATTTCTTCAACATGTTAGTAAAGTTAGGAGTATCTGCTATGGCAGACATCTGCATTTGGACAGCTAGAGAAATACAGAAATGTGGCCAGCTAAAATCTCTACTTCTTAAAGGAAAAAAAAAAGTGAGGAGTTCAACAGAGAAGGCAAGGACAGAGGCTCAGAGAGATTGCAGAGCAACACTTGGCATAGGAAAGAGTCACTCAAGGGGAAAGTATGATTTACAGGGTCATCTCCAAATGACTTTCACTCCCTTCACAAGACTAAAAGGAAACCCTCAGTCTAGCCCTAGGGTTTTTTTTTCCACATCCTGATTCCAGGATTACAGAACATAACTGGAAGAAAAAAGCTAGCCTGAAATGATAGAGGTTTTACATTCACACAGATACCAAACCATAAAGAGCACGTCAGCCACAAATATAAATTTAATAATAAGCATTTGCATTGTATAAGTTCTGTAAACAAAAAGAATAGAGCGCGTTTAAAGTTGAACTAGACATTAGACTAAAGGTTCAACCAAAATGGTACTTACTTGTGAATTTGGAACGCCGCCCACCCAACCCACACTGGCGTATTTTGCCGCCCTGAAAGAGTCCGTAGTAAATTTCTCCAATGAACTTAACCAGTTCTGGATCTGTGGCATTGACCAAATCAGCTCCTGTTTTGCAAAGGATCTTTCCAGTCGTCCACTTTGGGGTCCCCATTGAAACAACAATCAAGAGAAAAGACACAAAACTTACTAGAGAAGCCAAGGCAAATAAAGTCTTTTTAAAACAGCCAGGCATCCTAGTGGTTTCGAGGAATCATCTCCAAGTCCTCTCTGCAGCAGTCAGGCACGTTTCCCATTTTTTCTCATGCTCCGAAATCTACAAATGAATAGCAGGCATTTCAAAATACATCTCGTTGTATTTTGAAGCTCCAGAGATTAATCTGTACAGTTAAAAGTCAAGTCCAAAAATCTATTTTGCTGTGACAACATCCTGAAATGGTTGCAAGTAACAGCTTCATTACACTGTAGTGCGGTGATGCTTGTTTCTGCAGAAAGTAATCCTATATCTATTGCCTGACTAATGTTTCATCAGAGGTTTAATTGTCCTGCTCAAATGACATCAAGTTCCTTACTGTAACAGCATGGGAAGAAAATAAGGACCAGAATCCATTTTTTTAGTTTATTAAAAATGTGGGTAGATAGCTGTGTGCAAGGGACAAAGCATTGAAAACACGTAATTTGGGATCAGGATTCTGCTGGCGTCTCAGCCGTGTTGAGCTGCCTTCTCTCGGCGCTTACTCCCACCCTACCTCTAAATGTCACTGCTGTCAGAGCTACCAGGACTGTCCTTACGCCTCGGAGCCGGCCCTTCCATCTCTAAGCCTGTTAACTAATGATGTTTCAGGATGCCGAGGTTTCACGTATGAATCTTCTGAATTAAAACGGGACGCACACCGCTCCTTGCAGCCCGGGGAGGCCCGGCCGTACCTGCCGTCCCAGCGGTGGAGCCCAGCTGCTCAGGGGCTGAAGCAGGCGGCGTAATTCAAGCCACAGGTGCGACCCAGGAGTGCTAAAGAAAACCGGCCGTAATTGCGCTTCTACGGTTACTGCTACTCAAGACCTGCAGGGACCTGTATAACCACTAATTAATTAATCCTGGCAGTATTCCTGGCGGGCAGGTCGCACAGTCCGCCGCTGGAGCTCAGGGCCGGTGGGGAGGGGAGCCGCCCAGCACCGGCGCGC